CAGCGAGCCTTCGTCGGACAATCTCTCGAGGAGGGTCTGGGAAGTCTTTTTTTTACAACACTCCTTCAAAACCACTTTGGAAAACGACTGAACAGGTTACCGATGTCGCTACGGCGCGCCGCGATCTCGTCGGCCAGAGAGTTTCTCTGCTCCGGGAACAACGGCCGCGCGCTGTACTTCCGGTCTAGGTGGTCGACCATGGGCTTGTAATAGGACTCGCCCTTGTCGTAGTTGCTGCCGTAGATAAACGTGCGCGGCCTGCTAAGGATTGGCCTCGACATCTCGATTAGGCTGCCTCTTCGTTATCTGCAAAATAGACGTACACTATTCTGCACTGTGATCTTTCGTACAAGATAATCGAAAGGTCTTAAGAAGAAATGTGAATTGTATAGTAGCTTAAGCATAAGCGTATATCGGGAAAAACAAGCAAGAGTAAAATAAAGCAATTGAAAATAATAATTCGTTACAAGAATGCATGAAGAATTACATATAGCGCTCTGTAAGAAAAATAAAAACTAGAATATATAATAAATTATTATGTGCGAAGCATCATTATATTACATTACACAACAGAGAGCTCTAATTCCGACGCGTGAGCGAATGTTTCTGTTATGTGCCACCCACGTGGAGGATGCAAATGTTGAAAATTATCGTTAATTCGAGGCACGTGGCAGCGTCCGCATTTCCCAGACACCTATGTGTCCTCCACGTGGCTTTCTCAGATGCGCATTATACCACGTGTAACAAAAGTCCGACGCGTTCTTTCTCGTCGGTTCGGTTCGTCATCGACGGCAAACTGGAGCGAGCGGCTGTACGCCGGTCGAAAATAGCCCGCGTCTAATTTGGTGCCCGTGAACTGAACTGGCACGGCGCGCACGAGGCCCGGGCTGCAGCCTCTCTGAATACGAGGCGTGAATCCCTGAATGTCTACTCTTTCTCTTTTTTTTTTACATGCTAAGAATCACAGAATCACGGTCCAACATGTGATTTTAATGTTGCAGTGATTTTAATCGTCACGTTTTCGGTTTCTAAATTAGAGCACTCAAAGCGGCACGATCTAGAATGCGCGTTGTCCGTTATCGTTAATTAATTTTGTTTATTTTGACTTTTTTATCAGCGTATGTTATCGTTAGATTAATAAACTTTGATTAAATCTTTCAATGTCTATAAATTGAACTCATCTGAGAGATAAAATCATAAAAATGTTTTGCTCAAACTTTTTGTCACTATTTTATTAAAATTTCACTCTTTCACTTATTTTTATTTGGTAATTGAATTTCATAGAAAGCATGTAAATAATCTATATGAGAAATATTGATGTGCAAAGTTTTAATTATCAAAGAAATTATTGCACAAATTATTCGCTACATCACAATAATCATCTCAATACAGACATTTATTCGGTAATGATTTAGATTTTCTGCTTGTGTCTTTCAACATGTCGCCTAATTGCGGCGTCGTATTGAAGATTAATGTTCCTCGGTCCGCCTACATCTTTTGTTTCGAAATTATTTTTAAGTCGAGGGGCTGCAACCGTAACAACGTAAGAGATGCGTACGTTATCGCACATGTAGGCTAATGAATGCTATACACATAAGCCAATTTATTTTCGTCGACTATTAAATTACTGAGACTACTAAGCGGAGAATATCTCTAGACAAATTAATAGCGCACTGCGCGTCGAATTGAGGGCTAAATTCTCGCAATTCCAAGAAGTCAATTATGCAGAAAGATTTAATTGCAGATTTGATTGATATTCATTTGCAGATTTCAAAAAAGTTCATACAACTAATTCGAACTTGTCAGTTTTATTGTCCAATTTAGTTGTGTGAATAAAGTTAACTGATTTCAATTTGCGTGACAATCATCTGATACTCAAAAACAAGAATTATTTTATTCTCAATTTCAAATTCTGATATTACGCGAATATTTTCAACGCTTTATTCCAACATCTGCATTACGACATTGATGAAAGCAACGGATAATATGTCACCCTGTCATGGAACTGTTTTGACAGCTGATCACCGGTGATTTATTTATTTATTTATTTCACGGGCACAACAAGGGAGACGTCTTTCTGCTGGTACGTATACCATCGGATCATCGACACAAGTATAGCCAATAATAACGATCGTTCGAAATAAGTGTTACATCTCGCGCGTCGACGCGTTGGAAATAAATTCGCAGCTCGAAATAAACAGCAAAAGTGACATCGACGCGAGTATCATCTCAATAGAGTACGCATTTCCGTTGAACCGCACGTGCCAAAAAGCGAACAAACTATAGACCGACTTCTTTTGATTATATCGTTCGTTCGGCTTAATTGGCGTGTACGTGTCTGGCGCGCGTCCGCTTGGAAAGTAGCTATGATTTAGGACGGATCGGCTCATTACTCAATCATTCGTTCATGCATTCTCTTACTATACGCAATATATAGCTATCATACTTGTACGTTCCAAATCACTGATTCAAATCATTCAGGCAAGTCGTATATGCGACATATAAACAATGGCTCCTATATCTGATTTTAATACAAAACAAAATAAAACTATACTTTAAAATAAAAATTGAAGATTGATTGCAATAATAATTAAATATTATGACAGATTGCGTAATAAAAATTCTAAAATTTATTTCAAAGCAGAGAATGAAAAATATAATCTATTGTTATATTAATTGTTAATACATATAGAACTTTTTGATCCCAATAACAAATAAACGTGTAACGCAATAAAAAACGTTACAAATAAAATTGAAATAGCTGCGTGCCATGCATTTAACGTAGCAAATAACAATAAAAATATAGCGAAATAGAACACAAAAAGACAAATTTGTTAACAATATTAATAAATCATATTCAGATATCTATTATAGTGTAGCATAAAAATCTACACTAAATACTTTGATACTGTAATGAAGAAAATATAATATTAAAAATACTAATTTTTTAAACACTTATAATAATAATATAAATTAATTGAATATTTATATGTAATTAATAATTAATACTTCTTTGTTAATTCTAATTTGTAAAAGCACAGTTCAGTTGGCCGCAAATGATCAGAAGCACTTCACACTTTCGACTAACAACAAGACTATACGATCACAAGCAGTAGTAGAATTACGACGGTATTAACTGACAAACACGGCGTACGAAAAATTTGGCCCACACTACTAGTAGGACGATGCTGAGCAATGAATTATTCTACTTAAATAATGTTGCTTTACGCGCTACTATGTAGAAAGCATCAGGAATAGTGAAACAGATCAGCGTCAGACCAGACACATCGCACACAAATGCGGTAATGAATTACTCATAGCGAATATAATGCCAACTGTTTTAGATTCTGACTCACAGCAAACGTTAGATCTTCGCGTACGTTATTTAACTACGAATTCTAGAGCCGGTGACTTAAATAAATCGCGCAATTGCGCCGCGTCCTCGTGTCAATTCGCGCGGGGTATCGGATGTCCGCACATATCGAGAATCGCCCAGAGAAACACAAGTTTCGCTGCCAGCAGTAAGGATTTAATAGTCTTGTAAATAAACTCTTAATGAAATATCCGCTATTTTAGATCTATTATTAACTTTCTCTCTCACTCGATAGAACTTTGAACGCTGCTAACTGTACAGTTTCAAGACATTTAATTTTTACTCAAATATTAGTATTTTATGAGATAATAATTTCCAGCATTGAATATATTCTCTGGAAGAAATTTATCAGTTAGTTATTTAATTAACGCAATATTACAAAGTATGCCATTATGCAAAATCGAATTTTTACTCAGTGACTCTCATGGTGTCAAACCGCGTTCGTTTTCTCTCGTTGCGTAAGCTCGCCAAATTTAGCTGGTAAACGGCGCTTAAAAACCGTGATATCGATTACAAAATAATCGACATTATAGTTTTATTATAAAATAGTTTATATAAGAAATGGTAGTTAATTTTAATGTACTATTAACTTCTGATTTAATTATTTATATGTTAAATTTTGTATTATTAGTATTAATATTTGTATTTTAAATTAATTATATTAACACAAGCAGACACAATTTTATTGTAAAAGAATCATCTCACTGCTTCAGAAAAGAAATAAAAAATATTAATAATGCACAAAGTTATGATTAAAATTGATGTAACATTAATTTGTGATTGTACTCGCGTAAACATTGTACATATTTGTAAAAATATTATATTTAGCTTAGATATATGTGATGAAATACGTGTAGTTCAATTACGAAGCAATTCAATCGTGTGATTATGATTTCATCATATTGATTATGATAGATAATATCTTTCAGCACTTCATTAACGATGCCAACTATTAACGATGATTAAGAATGCAAATGGCATACGATGAATACTTTGCTAATTTCGGTCACTATACAACTAGATATATCGCTTCATCTTATCGTAATTAAACTCTGTTATGTATGCAATAAAATATATATATAATAAACAATTAATCAAACCATCTGTTAATTAAATTTCCCACAGAAACAATTTTCAAACTCGACTCGAATATACGCAGGATACTTTACAGCAAAGTAAAATCCGTATACTTCCAAATTTATCAAAAATTTATGAAAAAATTGTATAAAGAAATGTTTTTCAATTTTTACAAATTAAATTTATTTTTCCAAAATAAAGCCCTTGGTTTTCTATAACGCTTTTTTAATTTTTTATTTGGAAAATGTTAAATTTCAATACTTGAGGTGTATACAAAAATCGCAATAATAATACAAGATAAAAATTCCACGAAACAATTCCATAAAAATCCACGTATTAAAAAAATTTTTTTAACACGTTACGATGCGAAAATTACGTAAAATAAAAAATTTGCGATAGGTTTTCGCGACGAGATCAATATCCGCACATTATCAGCGACTTATACACCGTATGATAATTAATCGGCGGCGATAAAAGCGATCAATTTTTTTCCTCGGATTAAGCGCAGCACGAAAATTGGGACGTTCTTACCTAAAACAATCGTTACGAGGTATTATTCCTCAGGGTGCTGTTTCCTCGGAAGTAGCGGCGCAACTCCCACGGCCGTCGCGACGCCCGAATTATTTCCCACTCTTTGCGACCATGCTTTATCCCTACTTATTCACCTTCCGTTAGTTCAGACGATCATGCGGAACTGTGTGGATACCCGGTAAAATCGATGCATACCGAGTGGCCGATACTTGCGCTTGGGAATCCATTTTTCGCGAAACTGAATAAATTATTCGCTTCAGAAATGTTTATTGCTTACGGTACGCAAATGCTTCATCGCGCCCATGATTTTTCTTAATGTGCTGCCATCTCGCTATAAATACTTCAACGCGATAAGACATCTGCGGCCGGAGGTAACAAACATTTTTGAAAATATCTATCGATAATTGATCGATCGATTTTAACTAGCAAATAGTTTGCAATTGTTTCAAAATTTCGCGCTGACAAACAAGCACTTACTTATGCTGCCACCACCGGGAAAAGTTTTTCCGGATTCTCATTTATGGGTTGGCATAGTAACCGCGTGGTAGGAACTCATGTAAACAAATATGATTTGCAGCCGTCTTTTATTGTTTGTAATTTTTTTCTCGATATTAGCAAGTGCATTCGACGTGAATAATGAAGTGCGCGAATACAAGAAGCCGATCTTGTGTAAATACAATGAGTATTTCGATACGGTTTCTTTATCTTGCTTACAATGCAACATCAGTAAACATCATGTGCCGGCCGAAAATGGCAAGTTTATTAATCTCTTTTTCTGGAGATTTATTTATTTTATGTTCACGTGTTTCTCGGATTTTTTTAGGTTTGCAGTGTAAGTGCGATCAGTTCAGCAAAATGATCAGCTTTGAGAACGGCAATCCACGTTGCTCCCCTTGCGATCATAATATGATCCCAACTGTTGATGGAACAAATTGCATCTTGAAAACAAAGCGCAATTGTTCCTTAAATGAAATAAGAGGTAATCCAATAAGCATTCTTACAATAGATAATCAATAATTTAATGTAATTAGTAAAAATTGAGTTTTTTAATTCGTGTTAAAATACAATTTTTTATAATTAAAATAAAAATTAAGTATAACAAATGAGCTATAATATTCAAACATTAAACAATTTTATTTTGTGACTAGTTATAATTTTATTTTTATGATGTTAGATTAATAAAATTAAACTTTATTAGAGCAAATATTTTAAATATTATTTTCAAATTTTATTTGTTTTTATTCCGTTCTTATTCTATTATTCTTTAATTAACTTAAATTTTTTAATTAAAATTGATATAATTAGACTAAAAAAAAATTTATTTCAAGAGCACTTTATCTTTCTTATGTTTCTTGAAATAAAATTTACTATTTTTATTATTTATTTTTTTAATCAAATTTATTCTTATTTACAGTGGATAGAAATATAAATGGCATGATATTAGATAATGTACTGTGTGTACCATGTGTCCCAAACACATATCCATCTTCTAATTTTTCCAAATGTTTACCATGCGACCGTGAACATTATGGTCATATTAATTGTATGTGTTCAGATTCAACGCATGTAAGATTACAGAATTTTTGCCTAGATAGGGAGGATGTTATTGATTGGCCAAATATCAGAAATACTTACTTGGTAAAGTTTCAAAGCCAAAATATAGACAGTTACTACTTAAGAATTGAACTGCAAGTAGCAGTGTATTTCTGCAAGGTATACAAAAAAATTGCAAACTTCCTTAAAAATATTAGTAATAGGTCTGTGAAAATATTAGTAATAATTCTAATAGCTTAGAGTGAGAAGCATTATATTATGAAGTGATTATAATAATATAAATCTTAATTACTTCTTTCAGAGAAAAGACAAGATAGCATGTGAACATTTGTCAAATATATGTGCTTTGACTCTTTACACTAACGATATAGCTTGTATGCTTTTTAAGCATTCACCCATAGCACCAGTATGGCTGTTTTACAGTAAAAGCGATATTATGGCGTTAAAGAATGATACCAAAATATCTCAGAGATATAGCCTCAAAAAAGAAGATGAGGTATGATATAAAAACAGGCATTCAACAATTGCAACTATCTGTAATTTCTCTTATAAATTTCAGACAAGTACCCTCAATTTTGCAGTCGTAAGATTTGCATTGAACGGTGAATTTTTATCTATCGGCAGTTCGACTCTACCTTGTCAACTTCTGAATAGCATGAGGTTTGGTGTAAACTACAGCAAAAAGTGCAACATCAACACTGCTGAATTATTGAATACACGTGTAGAATTACTATCTCCTTATTTAGTGTTTAGTCAGAATAATAAAACTTTTATACATCCACTGCCTGTAATTGTTAAGTCAACGGATCAAGTAAGAGATCAGGTAAGCACATTGCATTTTAATAAAAATAATAGTACTAACGACATTGTAACGAGAAATGTGTTTTTTGCTTCATATATATAGAATATTGAGGAGCTCTGGCAGCAGCAGCTGGTGCGCAAGTTCTTCCTAGTCGACAATATAAGCGGTTCGATGGCTGTGCCAGATTTTATGTCCGACAAATTCAAGAAGACAGAACTCAGCATGCTTCGGTACATGAAATCTCTGACTGTCTTGTAAGTCGTTCGCAGCGCTTATAGCTCTCTTTCTACGTATCATCGGAAAGGCAAAGTTAAAAATTCTTCTTTCAGAGTAAACGTCCTGAACGGAGAAGACCATGGTAAAATCTTCGCGCCTTTTTTAATCGTAGAATACGATGAACTGACAGATCCAAATCTTATCACTGATTCTGTCATTACAATAGATTATAAAGTTACATTTATATTGAAGGATAATAATATAGATTATAACTTTCAGGTAAAAATCATAATCGGTAAAACTTTGACGGAATATTCACTTAATAATATTTTACTTTTCTTTTAAATATTAAAAATGTGTATTTTAGGTAACCATAAAAGTTCTTATAGGAATAGCTCTGATACTTTCCTGTATCAAGGCATTTAGTTATGCTCTACTAAATTACGGCAATGGTTTTAACACTTCTACTGTATTATGGTTTATAATCTATGGGATGGGTGCAGTTGGTGACGCGATCACTTTCGTATGCATTATTATGTGTGTATACTTATTCGTTTTTTACAAAGGCCAAACTATACCGTATATTTTACTTCCCGACGGAGAGAGCGAAAAAAATATCCGTATATACATGACGGTAGCATTCTCCTTTAAAGTAAGTAGATTAGCGCGATATTCATTTGCAATTCGTAAAAACTTAATGATTCTAATATTTTGCAGAAAATTTAATAAATTCATAATATTCTTGTTATGTTAATCTGTACTTTTTCTGTTTTGTTTTAATTCAGATCGTGGAAATGTTAGCATTTGTTTATCAACATTGGGACTTGAATATATTTTTTATCGACTGGGAGCAGCCGAAAACGATACGAAATCAACTGATTTACGATTCCCCGCATACTTCTTTGCGGAAATTATATTCCAATAGATTTCCGAGAAATGAGAGATCTGCAAAAATAACATCGGACATGATCATCGTGTCCAAACGAAAGAGAAGATCGCGCCAAACGGTCAGCAACGCAAGCCCGAATGAAGCGTCGAAATCTTCCTCGAGCGATAGTTGTACACCAAATTTTTCTTCTATTTGTTCGATTGCGAGATCTCCTTTAGAGGAGTCAAGTGAACATAGCCATGCGCATAATTCTCCGATTAGTATTTGGAGAACTTACTTCATCGCGAATGAATGGTACAAATTGCAAACTAAAAGAAAGATAAACGTAGCCTTACAATCGATTTACACTCTATTTATTTTGCAGGTCAGTTACATAAAAAAATTTGTAATATAATAAGTTAATCAAATAATTATACTCATATCGTTTTAGATGTTCGATTTGGAATTATGGAAGTCGACGGTACCGGAATGGACCACTGCAGACAAATCTTCCGATGTGGAGAATAATTTCATACTACAATATGCGATTTATACGTTCGTGTACGTGTCCGTATATTTCGCACAATGGTTATTCCACGTTATGTTTTACGAGAGGTACATCAAAAACAGATTGCAGGAGTTTGTTGATCTATGCTCGATCGCAAATATCAGTGTGTTCTTGGTGCAAAAGTATTATGGTTTTTACATTCATGGGAGGTAATTTGTAAATAAATGTGGCCTGTGCAAAATTAAATAAGAGATAATTATATATAATTATTAATTTTTTTAATAGATCAATACACGGTTTTGCGGATACCGATCTTCCTACTTTGATAAATAACCTAAAGAAGGAGGAAGATAACTTATGCGCACACAGAGGCCTAGTACCTGGTACAACCACGCAAACTTTTATAATATCGTTCAACCAGTCGTTTAAATCTTTATACGACGAGCTTACGAAGCAAAATGTATGTTGTTCGCGAAAAAGTTAATATCTTATTAATTTTCATGACACTACAAATTAAACATTTTAATAATTTTCAGGAAAGCACAGTAATTTTCAACACAAGTAATGCATCTTCCAAAAATTTGAAACAATTATTTGAAACCAAATCAAAAATAAGATTGTTTTTAATGCAATTTCTAGATCATTGCTCGGAAAGTGAAGATTATGTAATCAAAGAGCAACATATATTAGAAAAACTATGCGACATTCATTTTTCAGATATAAAAAATAGATCTTCCAAAGATAAATCCATCTTCTACATTGGTAATATGAAATTGATCTTTACAAACTTAATAATAAAAAATTAGAATATTGTCATATATTTTAAAAATATAATTTGATTGCAGATAACAATTATTCCTTCAAGAGAATGGTATTTTACGGAAACGAGTGGTTATTGGCGACATTTGAGATTACTATGTTTGCGTTCTTTTTGGTAATATTCAACTCGTGCACTTTCGCTTGCACAGGAACAGTAATTGTATCGCAATTGTTCCTGTTAATCATCAGATTCCTTGTTAAGAGAAATCTTTGTAAGAAATCATTATTGGATGACAGATTCCTAATGTAACATAAGGATCATTAATGAACAATTATAACAATTTAACCCAATATCAACTGATATATATTATTTGTTACCTCAAAATTCTTTATTGCTAAAAAAATTTTTTTCACAGTAATATATAACTTTTGTCAAAATAATTTTACATTTAATTTCATTGAACGTATAATTTACAGTTGTCATTCTTTGAAAAATTAATAGTAATTTCTTGAATTCATATATTTCTGATTATATTTTCTGAATTTAACATTTAAATCAAAGAGCAACACAAATTTTGTTAGATAAAGCTTTATACTTTCACTATTTTTAATTTATTGATTTTCTTCATAAGAATAACTTAGATAAAATATTGAGATATTTAAATGCTTTATAGGATGATTTTTATATTCTAATTTTTATTTTCATGACTTACGTCATGTCGTAACATAGTTTTTACAGTAATATTTCTACTATTTTTATATATTATTATATAGTATTGATCTCTATTGAATGTTAATGATGACCATCTCCGTGATGACCATCTTCATGATGTCCATGACCCGAATAGTCAATCCCGAAATATTGTTCAACAGCTATGGTTATCAAAAATGCTGGTATGCCTATTTTCCAGCCTCTGGTTAAAGTTACTAACCCACGCCTAAAAGATGATTGAGTTGTTTGATAGCGCCACACATAATTTCTCAACCAGGGATCCTTCAATCCTTTTTTGGCTAACTCTTCCTGAACGCGTTTCAATTCTGGCACATTCTCCACGTTATAAATATCAGGGCTAGGTATTTTATATGGTTGATGTCCATGACCTCCCATTTTCTGTAAAAAATATATATTACATATTAATATAATTTTGTATGTCAAATCTCTAATAGATTTTTGTAACATTGTGATACTATACTATTCAATGATTGTCTCATTCTTGTTTTTAAAAAATAATAGAGGTTAATTTTTGTGACTGTTGGTTCTATGAGTAGTTAAAAAATATAAATAATAAGATATATAAAAAAAAAAAATATCTTAAGATATTATTATCAAGAAGCATTTATTAAATGTAAATTACATAACTTACCTATCTCGAAGTAAATGACTTTATACTTCTACTAAACACTTATACGTTTATACGCCATCTTTAAGAAAGTGCGTATTCATGCGTAATGGTAACTAACCATGCTGCGTTCCGAAATTCACTGCCAGTACTGAAAATCTACAAAATACGTGACGTAAACTATAGATTTTCAGTACTGGTAGTAAATTTCGGAACACAGCCCAAAGCAGTGGTATATAATTTGTATCCAATAGAAAGATTTATTTTCTAATGACAAAAATATTCACTTTTTTATTGAAAAAAAGACATCAATTGAGAATATGTGATCGAAAATCGTTAAAATATATCCAAATCTTTTTGTATATACTCTTATGTGCCTATGCAAGTTTATGTGAATGCACCCTTAGGCTGGTATTACATTTATAAGATAAAAAGTTTGTCGGACGTATCGATTGGTTGTTGGATAGAAAGTTTCTAAAATTCTGATAGAAATTCTATATATTCTCTATTCAACAACCAATCGATATGTCTGACAAACTTTTTGTCGACTGTAATACCCTTTGACTATAGAAACCTTTGACTATAGAAACCTGGACTGCTAGTCTCCGCCCCTTTGCCTATCTTCGCAATGCTAAAGAGATGTAGGGTGTTTACGATAATTCAAGTTCGAGTTATAGCGTTTTCGATTATACAGGATTTGAACGACCCAGGGTTGGTTAATGACGTCATTGCAACCTCTCCACCAATGAAAGACTTGCATTTATAGTAAAATAGTGATTGATCAACCCTGGGTCGTTCAAATCCTGTATAATCGAAAACGCTATTAGTTTCACTAGGACCGACAATGAGATATACATAGGGTGTTTACGATAATTCAAGTTCAAGTTAGTTTCACTAGGACCGAAAAATGAGATAGACATAACCATCTAGAACCTTTATGATTTATGACAACTCGACGCTGTCTTGTATTGCTTGAGTTAAATTCATTGAATTTGTTGAGTTTATAGAGCAAATTTTATTGTATTAGGTCCTTGAATAAGTTCTCGCTGTTTCTTAAAAGATGGCGTAGCGGCACTCTGTGCATGGAATTTCGTACGGAAACGCATCAGCTAAGTAGTACTATATGTAACCTCAAATTCTAGTAGATACAGTTTACCACAGTGTCAACCACGTGTTTAATTACCTATTGCGAAAATGTCTACTTTTGTGCCAAATAAAGTGTTTTTGCGGGGAATTTTATTGCACTGCTTTATTCAAAAGAAATCTGCAGCTGAAGCACACAGAATTCTTGTTGAAACATATGGTGACAATGCTCTGTCGAATACGACATGCAGAGACTGGTTTAGGCGCTTTAAAAATAATGACTTT